TCAATTGAGCTGATACAAAAATACTAACAAGAAACTTTTGTGACTCATGAAACGACTTTAAGCTCCAGAAAACAACTATATCTCTCATAATATTATTTCACCGAAGTTTTTAGCAAATCGATACTAGTAAAGGCAATTGCATGCATCACCAAAAACTCATTTGATATGATTTACCAACATTGAATCTGAGTAACATACTATTGCTTGACATATATAACATAATAAAATGACACAATTTACAAACATTGTATTCAACAAATGTATTGAAATAATACCAGGAAATTATGTACAATTTACAGACATTTTGTCCCACAAATGTATCTAATAGATAAAAACAAATTTTTCTTAAAAAGACACATTTACAGACATAGTACCACACAAATATATCTTATTGATATACAAACATAAATGTCTACCAAATACATATCTTTCCAGCCTTTTTTTGACAAAACAAATATTCTTAAACAATTTGGAAGAATTGGTCCTTGAGATTTACAACGATTGTGTAAAGAAATATTATTATAGAGATTTTGTGTATGACTTTAGTTCTGAGATTACCCCCATTATAAGAAAGACATTTTTTTATTTAAACGAAGAAGAAAAAATTGGCATTTTTGAAAAGTCATCAGTTTACCCTCATTATCTAGTAGATCATGTATAAAAACGATCCCTTTATTTGCCCAGTCCTTATAGATCTATTTCATATCTAAATATTTTCATTATTCCAAGGTGAGTCTGTTACAAACTCTTCTTAATTTTTTTGTAAACGTTTATTTTGTAATTGTGTCCAATTGAGAAATGAATAGTTGAATAAAATAAAATGAAATGAAATGAAATGAAAGAATGAATACCATTAAATAAAATAAGATAAACAAAATTAAAAAAAACATGTAAAAATCTATATAAAATGAAATAGAAAAATAATATAATGTTTTTTTTTTTAATTATCAAAAAGGATTAAAAAAAAGAATGAGTCAAGTTATGTCACTGTCAACAGAAAACACTGATTCTCGTATATCATGGTAACTTTATACTTTCAGAAATCAACGGATTCCTTATCATAATACTTGCTGGCTATGACGATATAAATATGTACCAGTTAAAAATTACCAGACGTGTTAGAACTGAGGTAAATCAGCAATAATAGAAAAAATCTAAAAGATATGTCAATGAGACAACAAATAACGACACAAATATCTTTGAAATATATCTTATTAAAGAGATAACTTCTGAGAAAAAAAAAATCTATATAACACTGCATAAAAAAAATTTGAAAACAAATCTTCGAAGTATAATTTACAGTTATTTCCTACAGGAATGCCCACAACAAAAACCTGTATACAAAGAAAGACAATCAACAACGAACAACACGTGGGGTAAAAAGCTCCCCCCACCTTTAACTGGAAATAAATACCTTCTTTTATAAATCTTTCAGTGAGAGCACGAGGAGGGGGGTTTAACTTTAATATGGTCTGAAAAAGGAAAAGTGTTTGGTGTATGATAACATAAAGGCTTGTTTTGTTTTAAACTACTCAGAATTCCTAATTTTCAGAATCGCCATTTTAAGATGAAGTGTTCATTTACCACAACGAGACAATACGATACACCAGTTGTCAGCGAAGTCTGCATACAAACATTACCCAGGTCTCAGTTTAAGTCTCAGACGAGGGATTTTGAGCTTTGTTACAATATATATGATGTAAAAACAACACAAGGTGAGATGTTAAGTTGTAAATAGTTATCAGTAATATTTGTATTTAAAAATGTGACTGAGTCTTTCGAAATACCAGAAACTGAAAAACAATACCATTGATTATTAAAAATGTAAGTAATTGTCAAAATCAACCATTTTTTAAAAGTGCGCATCATGCATTACGAGAGTTATTAACTATTCAACTTGCCAAGCGGTAGTGTTACTGTTATTAATGCGCAAGGGGAGCCTTTATCACCTCTTCTTTTTTTTATTCTTCCTTAATGACATTGCTGAGGAGCTTGAAACAAATAACAACGACGATTTCGTAAGTGTGAATGATATTTTAATTCATCCGCTACTTTTTGCTGACGATACAGTTTTAAACGGTAAAACACCAGAGGCACTACATCTACTTCTTGATAAACTTCAAAAATATTTTTTAAAATGGAACATTGAAGTGAATAAAGATAAAACTGAAATAATTGTATTCCGTAATAGATGGCAACACGTTAATCATAGTTGGCATTACAACAAACACGAGCTTAATGTTGTGAACTCTTTTGTTTACCTAGGGAATCTGTTTCATTACAGCGAAAAAATTCAGCAAACCCAAAAGATATTATCCCAACAAGGTAATAAAGCACTTGCGTCACTCTTTAATTCATTTAAGATGTTATATATATCAACTCAACAGAAATGTGAAATTTTCGATAGCCTTGTCGGATCGATCTTGAGCTATTGTTCTGAGATCTGGGGTTTCCATCATGCCAGATACATTGAATTGGTTTATAATAAATTTTGTAGATTTGTACTTAAAGTTGGTAAACATTCTCCTATATGTGCTGTTCATGGCGAACTTGGTCATTTGCCAGTGCATATTATTAGAAAAACAAAGAATACTCAAATATTGGTTAAACATTGTTACCAAGAAACATCCTATTGTATTTGATGTATATAAAATGTTAGTTGACGATGCCGAGAATGGTAAATCAAACTGGGCGTCAAATGTTCATACCTTGTTAATTGATCTTGGTTATAATTTTTTATGGTATAATCAAGAAAATGTAATATTATATGATGTTTTGAAAATACGCCTTTATGATCAGTTCATACAAAGCTGGCGTTCTAGTATGTTAGATTGTGAAAAATTGGATGTTTTGAAAATGTTTAAAACTGCCTTTTGTTTGGAAAAATATTTACTTCTTGATGTTAATGTTAGACTCTTAACACAACTTAGATGTGGTTCACTAGAACTCAACATTGAAATTGGAAGATATAACAACGTAATGAAAGGCTATGTCAATGTTGCAATATGAAAACCATTGAAAATGAATGTCATTTTGTAATTATCTGTCCAGCTTATATACATTTGCGTCTAAGATTTTTGCCTATTGTTTTTGTTCTTGGCCTAATATGTCAAAATTTGTATCACTTATTCAAACATGTTCAAGAACTTTGGTGTTAAAACTTCGTTGTTGGTTGTTTGTTAAATGAAAACTGGAAACTACGATCACAATTGATAAAGTTGATTATAAGGTATTATTTGCTTTATATACGAAGAAATTTGTTTTGCATGCACACGTATAAAAATTGCGGTTTTTATCCAACGCAATCATAGGTTTGAACGTTGTTTCCAATTTAGACTTGTTTATATTTTTTCGTTTGGGCTTGTATTATATTTGCCTTCGTGTTTATATGATCCGTTCATCCTATTTCGACTCTTCAAAATTTAAGAGTCTATCCTAAATTGAGGTAAATTATATGGCCTTCCAAATACCGTTTCGATTCCTTACATCACTGAAGAGACATTAATTGTCGAAATCCGGATATGGTGTACTAATTTTTGCACCTTTTGTTTGCGGTATACCATCTTTTCCGCAAGTTTATTGTTTTCTGTTTGGTATTAAATTAATAGTTAAGATCCATTTTGTTACATCTGGTGATCTGTTTATTTGGCAGTCGCCATTGGCAGTCAGCAGCGTTTAAGAACATCCGTTGTTTGACCTGCTGGTCAAATGCGTTATGTTAAAATATACTTTTTCAATTTTTTGGTCTTTTGGAAAATGTTGTTTGTGCTGTATTTAGACCCCTCTACCAAGAAATTTGTTTTGCATGCACACGTATAAAAATTGCGGTTTTTATCCACAGCAATCATAGGTTTGAAAGTTGTTTTCAATTTAGACGTATATATATATATATATATATATATATATATATAGAAGTCTATAAAAAGGACCAACCAGCAAATTTACTATGTACTGGATCGTCTAGAATAGACGATACTGTGCAGATAAGGAAAAAAATTATATAAGTCTAGAGATTTGCACAACGATACTAATATAAGATGGTATTATACGAAGATGTTGTTAATACATCTTCGTATAATACCATCTTATATTAGTATCGTTGTGCAAATCTCTAGACTTATATATATATATATATATATATATATATTGCTTTCTGTTTTCATTTATATTTTGTCGCTTACTTTAGTATATATGTTGTTGATGCTATAGCATTTTCCTATATGCTGATTGCAATAAACTTATTACAATCACAATTAATACGAAAAAAAATATTACTTTACATTATTTACATTATTTTTACAGTATCTACTCTAAAATAATAATCCTTAAATTAGTATAGCTTACAGATGGAAATAGCATTCATATAACAGACAGACAGAAAATAGTCCAAAACATTATTATGGCAACAAAACATTTAGCAACTCGAACCTACCTTAATTACGGGCGTAAACCTAGTTGGTATCAGAGTGCACTGTTTACTCTTTTTTAAACCTCTTTTTACCTCATGAATACAGATATCATGATTGATAAACTCATCAAAGACTTCAGTCTTATAATTTTGTACGCCAGACTACAATTATCCTAAGTGACGCTCGAGTCGAAAAAATTTAAAAGGCCAAATAAAGTACGAAGTTAAAGAGTATTGCGGACCCAAAATTCCAATAGGTTTTGCCAAATACAGTATCATAAATCTAACGAGTAACGATATATTTCATATGAACAAAAGACAATTGACTATTTAATATATGCAAACATGGATAAGTGGAAGTGCGATCAGAAACACTTTGTATGTTTGTATGTTTGTGTGCTTACTTGTATTTATTTTATTATTCTCTTTCATTTGATGAATAACAAGTCTATATCAATACGTCCTACTTTTATTTGTTAGATTGTTTTTTCAGTGTATGAAGTAGATATTCAATATATATGAACAGGAAAAAAATATAGTGGATACAAATACGATTCTGCATTTTAAAAATATTTATATTTTGTATTTGCTGTTTAAGGTACGACCAAACTATTTTTACCCTCGTTACCACCAACTCTCATTGTCAACGACTCGATCCAAGTCACAAACATGGACCATTTATCCGGATCAAGCACTAATAGTGCTGGTATAATCGGAGGAGTGGCTGTATCAGCTTGTCTCATTCTTTCAGTCATCATAGGGATACTTTTTTATAAGCATTGTAAGTATGATTTAGTTCATGTCCTTTTAACGTTTTCTTCGCATCTCTTTTTGATGCACTTTCTAGGAAAAGATCGTGTAAAGAAAATATACCTTTAAAATCATATACATTGACACATGTAACCGTATTTTTTTTGCTATTTTTTCACTTTTCATTAAGGCAATATTTATTACATGTTTTCTATCGCTACACGAACTAACATCGTTTAGCTTTACTAGTAATTCTAGAAATTAAAGCAACACAAACATAGTTTTTGTTGTAGAAATGGTAAATGAAATTAACTTTCGTTCGAAATTCAAACTGTTTCTCGTAATATTGGCCTTCACATTAAGTTGTCGTAAAAATAATGTTCCATTCACAACAAATATACTTTTTTATTTTACATGACATATTATAAAGGAGGAGGTATGATAAAGCCGTCGTTTTGCCACTGATATTGCAAACAATTGTACAATACTGAAAAAGTTGTCAATCCTTTCAAACTTATGTTAGTTCTATTTATAAATCATAATCTGGACACTCTAGTTCAACAGTATTAGTTATGATGTCACTGGGGTGTCATCACCATGTTAAATTTGGCATGTATGATCTAAAATAACCATTTTACAAGCAAGTTTTGGTAAAATTAGTTATGAGCTAAGCCCTGACCCGCACTTACTTCTTTGTACGAACCATGTTGTAGCAAAATATCTTGTTTATGTAAGGTCTTGGCCCATATCTACATATTAATGAAAAAATCCGAAAATTGAGGCACTTAAAAGTTAGAGTTTTGCATTAAATGCATTATTGAAGCCCTACACAAAATTTATGACAAAATTAAAAAAATAAAATATTGATATCTGTCAAAACATAAAAAGCTGATAGATTTTTTTCTTGATTTATAAACAAATCTCTCGTTTTTGATTTTAAAATTCATGCGTCCATAAAAGTTACCTTATCATATACCCCATTTAATGTACTTAAATGATGAGTACATATAAAATTTGGCTGAATTTTGTAAATTTCCTTTAATAGATCAAAACTAGCTAAAATATAAGTAAAAGGATTTTTTAAATTAGCAATTGTACATGAAATTAATAGAATGCTTCATGTAAAAGTGAAAACAACACGTAATTAATTTCATGCGTCCGAAGCGCAATTTCGGCAATAAGATTATGTAAAACTTTTCACTTGATTTATGTTCCATGTATCTCTTTTCGAAAAAGAAAATTTGCAAACATTACAAAATATAATGAGAAATTTTTTACATTACAGACCGTTGTAACATGAAAAGCAAACCATCTGAAGGTATACTTATTTTTTTTTAGTCACAACACACATACAGTCAAAAACTCGTAAACATTTTTTATGTTAGAAGCTGTATTCAACCTGATTAAAACACTGCATATCAAAACACGTAACATTTCAACTAACCATTCCTATTTAAAAACAAAAACAATCTGATATTCTGTCTAAACAGTTACAGCTTTATCCTGTTGTACTTTTTCATACACAAAAAAAAAACAAAAAAACCAACGAATTAAACAAAAAGGAAATAGAGAACCAACGACAAAACAAGTGCATATATTAACTTTCCGGGGTCACCTGATGATATCTCCAGTCTTAAGTGTGGTTCTGTTTAGGCTTTGTTGACTATTTGTTGCTTTGTTTTTCAATCGGGTCATGATGTTGTTTATCATCTTTATTTCAATTTATGATTTGTTATTGCCTTCGTGGTAACCTCTAACTTTTTTTTTACCGTGAACTTGACTGTTTATGTTGCTGTCCTGCCTTCGTGGAACGTAACTGTAAGTGTCACTATCTTCCCTTGTAGGACTTGAATGTACGTATAACCGTTCTGTCTTTGTGGCACTTGACTGTAGAGGTTGCTGTCCTGTCTTTTTTCGACTTGACTGCAGGTGTTGCTGTCCTGTCTTTGTTGATCTTGACTGTAAGTATTGCTGTCCTGTCTATGGGAGACTTGACTGTAAGTGTTGCTGTCCTGTCTATGGGAGACTTGACTGTAGGTGTTGCTGTCCTGTCTATGGGAGACTTGACTGTAAGTGTTGCTGTCCTGTCTATGGGAGACTTGACTGTAGGTGTTGCTGTCCTGTCTATGGGAGACTTGACTGTAAGTGTTGCTGTCCTGTCTATGGGAGACTTGACTGTAGGTGTTGCTGTCCTGTCTATGGGAGACTTGACTGTAAGTGTTGCTGTCCTGTCTATGGGAGACTTGACTGTAGGTGTTGCTGTCCTGTCTATGGGAGACTTGACTGTAAGTGTAGCTGTCCTGTCTTTGTTGATCTTGACTGTAAGTGTTGCTGTCCTGTCTATGGGACACTTGACTGTAGGTGTTGCTGTCCTGTCTATGGGAGACTTGACTGTAGGTGTTGCTGTCCTGTCTATGGGAGACTTGACTGTAGGTGTTGCTGTCCTGTCTATGGGAGACTTGACTGTAGGTGTTGCTGTCCTGTCTATGGGAGACTTGACTGTAAGTGTATTTGTCCTGTCTTTGTTCATCTTCACTGTAATTGTTGCTGTCCTGTCTTTGTTGATCTTTACTGTAAGTGTTGATGTCCTGTCTTTGTTGATCTTTACTGTTAGTGTTGCTGTCCTGTCTTTGTTGATCTTGACTGTAAGTGTTGCTGTCCTGTCTTTGTTGATCTTTACTGTAAGTGTTGATGTCCTGTCTTTGTTGATCTTGACTAAGTGTTGATGTCCTGTCTTTGTTGATCTTTACTGTAAGTGTTGATGTCCTGTCTTTGTTGATCTTGACTAAGTGTTGATGTCCTGTCTTTGTTGATCTTTACTGTAAGTGTTGATGTCCTGTCTTTGTTGATCTTGACTAAGTGTTGATGTCCTGTCTTTGTTGATCTTTACTGTTAGTGTTGCTGTCCTGTCTTTATTGATCTTGACTAAGTGTTGCTGTCCTGTCTTTGTTGATCTTGACTAAGTGTTGATGTCCTGTCTTTGTTGATCTTGACTGTAAGTGTTGCTGTCCTGTCTTTGTTGATCTTGACTAAGTGTTGCTGTCCTGTCTTTGTTGATCTTGACTGTAAGTGTTGCTGTCCTGTCTTTGTTGATCTTGACTAAGTGTTGCTGTCCTGTCTTTGTTGATCTTGACTGTAAGTGTTGCTGTCCTGTCTTTGCAGGGCTTGATTTTAATGTTGGTATCCTGTCTTTGTGCATTTTTACTTAAAGCGTCTCTGTGTTGCCTTTGCAGGGTTTGACTTTAAATGCGGCGGTCATACATTTGCTGGACTTGACTGTAAGTGCTCCTGTCCTCTTGTCTTTGCGAAAATGACTGTAAGCGTTGCTGTCTTGCCTTTGTAAGACTTGACTGTAAGTGCTCCTGGCCTCTTGTCTTTGCGAAAATGACTGTAAACGTTGCTGTCTTGCCTTTGTAAGACTTGACTGTAAGTGTTTCTGTCCTGCCTTTGCGGGACTTGACTGTAAGTGTAGCTGTCCTGCCTTTGCGGAACTTGACTGTAAGTGTAGCTGTCCTGTCTTTGCGGGGCTTGACTGTAAGTGTTGCTGTCCTGCCTTTGCGGAACTTGACTGTAAGTGTAGCTGTCCTGCCTTTGCGGAACTTGACTGTAAGTGTAGCTGTCCTGTCTTTGCGGAACTTGACTGTAACTGTTGCTGTCCTGCCTTTGCGGAACTTGACTGTAAGTGTAGCTGTCCTGTCTATGCGGGGCTTGACTGTAAGTGTTGCTGTCATGTCTTTGCGGGACTTGGCTGTAGTGTAGCTGTCCTGCTTTTGTGGAACTTGACTGTAAGAGTTGCTGTCCTGCCTTTGCGGAACTTGACTGTAAGTGTAGCTGTATTGTCTTAGCGGGACTTGACTGTAAGTGTTACGTTTCTGTCTTTCTGGGCCTTTACTGCAAGTGTTGCTGTCCTGTCTTTCTGTGCTTTGGCAGTAAGTGTCGTTTTGCAGTCAGGTAAATTATTACCAAATTTCAGATTAAACCAAAATGATAAGTAAGTATAACTAATTATGTAATTTATAGACCAAAAACGTCATAAATACATATGATCTAACTTTTGTCTTCGACTGTAAGGAATAACAGAATTGAAGATCAGTATCAGCTGCAATCAGATAACGGGTGTTATACCTTTTTTAAATTACAATTACAGTAAATCTCAATTTGCGGTAAAAATAATAGGTCATGACTTAAAGTCGTTTATCAGCTATTTCTCTGTGTTTTGTTTACGCAGATTGTAAGTAGATTAAGAAAACGAATATGTTCACTTGTACAAACTTGCAAACATATACTTTAGAATACGTAATCTACTATTAATTCCCTACTTGACTAAAATGAAAGCCAAACATACAACTGTATCTTCGTTTTACATTTGCAATACTAACATTGCAGTCGTGCTACAGTCTTCCTACAGATGTTGCGATAAAATAGCTGATCAGTTTTTTGGCATAAGGTAATCTGGTCAAACATTTTATCATACAAATTGGAGTGTATGAACAACCGCAAAAAAATGTAATTTAAAAAAGCAAATTTACTTTACAAAAATAAAAATAAATACATTTTTCACAAAAACACTTGAAGACAGTTTTCGTTTTTTTACAGTTTATCAACAATCTAAACAGCATTCTAAGGATTACAGTCAGTCAGATGATCCTTTAGATGTAGATGTCGACGATTGTCCGGTCCATGGTGGTATAAAGTATAATATTACAAGCTCCATTGATACAAAAGACCATAATATTCATTCAGTTCCTTATTCGGTAGACAGTCACTATAGAGGAGGCGTTCATTTACATTCAGCCTACTCTGAAGTGCAGAATACATCGTGTTTTTATAATGAATATCGTTTTTCAAACCGTAACAAATCAGCAACATTAGATTCGGAGCTTGAAAAGCAAATAATTAACATTAATTTTAAATAGAATCTCAGTCCTATACAGAACATTCTATATACTAGTGGTATAATGACAATTTTGTGTATGTCAATGTTAATATTATCATAAAATGCATTTGATTATATATTTTTCACAGAGGCTTTCAGATCTTAAATCTTGTATGTTTATATTTGATAAATTAATTGTTTGATTTATATAAAAAAAATGTGCAAACCACTCTGTATGTTTTGACCAGACTGTTGGCATTGAATCATCTTGAAATGGAAAATTTTCAACTTTACATAAACAAATGTTTTAACTGTTCATGTTTATTATATAAAGGAACACAAGACGTTGTTTGGTGAAAAGGAACCGATAAAAACATTAAAACCGAAAAAGAAACATTTAAGTCAAAACACGGTCTTTAATTTTTACCATATGTCATACTCTAAATAAACCAGAGTCTAGAAAGTCATGGATGGGTTTAATATACTGTGGATTCATTATTATTCTTTGGATACCAATTTTCGTGGGTTTCGTGGGTATAGATGAACCACGAATTCAAATGTTCAACGAATAACAAATTGTCTATAGGCTTTGTAGACTACACATGACAACACCACAACAATCAACATCAAATTTAACCATGGACAATAGACATATCATCACCCTAACCAATGACATGGTCTCTAATTTGGAGGAACATATTAACATGTGGCGTTATCAACTAGTTTACCCTGTCGACATACGCTGTCTAGCTCCTTTTGGAGTACATGAGATTCTCTCAGTTTTTGTTTGTTACCTTGATTTATCGATTTATGAGATTTGAACATCGATAAACAACTGTCGCCTAAGCAAATCTGCTTCTGTATGACATCTCAATCATCCAAATCATACTAGGACACCCTCGAGGAGATCATGGCATTTCAAAATAAACCTTAAGGTAATCTACGAAACATTCGATCAAATTCGACATTTTTTAATAAATGTAATTCGGTGTTCTTTCAGACAAAGTCACTTATTTTCCCCGGTAAGGATTCCCGAAGGGGGCAATATATGTAATAAATTGTATTATCCATTAGGATAATAGGAAAATTGAAATAAAAGTGTAATCTCAGATTATTATCTGTTCATAGAAGATAAATTAATTTTATCTTTCATATTTATTGACAGTCATATGAAAATAATGTAAAATGTATCATACACAAAATACTTTGTTTAGATGGATTGTTTATACTTAATTCTGTTTTCAACTCTTCTGGACACTATATTAGCCACTATCAGATGTGATCAATCATGCCCAGACATAGTAAGTAATGTTATTTCTTTTTAGGAAGAAGTGTAGTGAGAACACATTTTTTCCCTTAGATTAACAAATATATAATGCCAAATGTGCTTCCTTCGTTATTTCAATTTGTGTTTTTTCCCCTTAGATTAACAAATATATAATGTCAAATGTGCTTCCTTCGTTATTTTTTTTTTGTATTTTGCACAGAGGTATTGACAATGGAAAATTGTTGCTGACGCATGTCTTACTGAAAGATGAAATTTGAATGTTTCACTTTTTATTTTTGATATCTAGAAATGTTGGTATCTATAACATATTAGTGATAATTTTGCGTATATCATATTAACGTGGTATTTATGGAAATTATGCCTTGAAAAGTATATGAAAAGTATAAGTCAAAATAATTTACAAATTTTGCTCAACTTCCGGTTGCAACTTTCTTTTTTTAAAACATACGTTAGATGCTACAGTTCTCATAAGACTGGTTTTCCCTTTTCTGTTCGAAACAATATGAAATACGTGTTATCGGGTACAAAAACCATATCATTTGGTTTTTTTTACTTACGCTGGGTCGATACCGCTGCTGTAGGACTATCATTTCTGAAAGGTAATCATTCGCCTAGTAGGCAGTGATTTGGTTATTGCTTGATTTAGATTATACAATTTTTGTTGTAAATGTTCCTATTTCATATTCCGTTAACTATAGGTTATTTTTGATGGTTTTTTTTAGCTCACCTGGCCCAAAACGGCCAAGTGAGCTTTTCTCATCACTTGACGTCCGTCGTCCGTCGTCGTCGTCCGTCGTCGTCGTCGTCCGTCGTCCGTCGTCGTCGTCCGTTAACTTTTACAAAAATCTTCTCCTCTGAAACTACTGGGCCAAATAAAACCAAACTTGGCCTAAATCATCCTTAGGGTAAATCAAATCTGACATGTGGTAAAAATGTTCATCAGGTCAAGATCTTTTTGCCCTGAAATTTTCACACGCATCAGACAACCCGTTGTTGGGTTGCTGCCCCTGAATTGGTAATTTTAAGGAAATTTTGCAGTTTATGGTTATTATCTTGAATATTTTAATAGATAGAGATAAACTGTAAAAGCAAAAATGTTCAGCAAAGTAAGCTCTACAAATAAGACAACATGATCAAAATGGTCAATTGACCCCTTCAGGAGTTATTGCCCTTTAAAGTCATTTTTTCACAATTTTTCGTAAATATTTGTAATCTTTAACAAAAGTCTTCTCCACTTAATCTACTGGGCCAAATAAAATTAAACTAAGCCACAATTTTCAATAGGGTATCTTGATTGAAAAATGTATCGGATGACCCTGTCATCCAACCAACATGGCCGCCATTGCTAAAAATAGAACACAGGGGTTTACTATAGAAGTCTATGGGAAAATTGTAAAAAAAACAATTTCAAATGGTCACAACTTGAAAACTAATCTAAATAATTATAAGGGGTCTTCAGTAACTATTGTAAGACTACAAGGGGATGACCTGCTTTAAAATTAACTACTGGGCCGAATTAAACCAAACTTGGCCTCAATCATTATTAGGGTATCTAATACTATTTTTTATGATTTTAACCTTATTTTACATGATTTCCAAAACCACAGTAGATACAGGTGAGCGACACATGCTCTTGAGAGCCTCTAGTTTTATTTCGGCGCTTTTAGATTTTAAAACTCTGAAACATTTATATCATTGACATTCCAAACTTTTTATCATGAGTGTGCAGACAAGGGTCCGTATAAAAGTTATTAATTACATTTCAGTTACATTGAAAAAACTATTATACATGTAAATTCCATCTTTTTAGAATTATAAATATAATAATACATCAGACAAGAAATTAATGAAATTACAAATAACTTTTTAAATGAATATTACAAACGAAAATGATACTAGATCTATAAATCATAACTATTTCCAATAGAAATTCCATGTCTACAAAACTGTTTGCACGTAATCTGCATCACAATTTTAATTGTTCTGTCCTCTAGTTACACATTTTGGTATAAATTGTTTCAGGAACGCTTAAAAGCTGTTTCTACAATGTGAAAGAAGTCACAGTTTGAGAGAGTTCAATGATCTGAAAGTGACGTGTTATTTTTGTTCTAAAGTGCAGTATATTTTGTACTTGATCATTCAAAGTGCCTTTCGGAGCACCAAATTTATAAAGTGTTATTTTCGTCCAATATAGTATTTACTCATTCAAAGTGCTCTTTGGACGCACCAAATTTATAAAGTGTTATTTTTATTTTCAAAGATGCAACATGTTAGTATATCAATAAAAACAAGCATTCTGAGAGTATTGCACGGCAATACATAGTCCCATACCGGTTAAAAATTCATTGTACTGGAACAAAATGCTAACTTGATCTATAACTTGTCATTGTGTAAACTATATAACAAATATCAAGTCAATATCTTCAAGCATAACGAAAAAAAGTGTGGAAAACTGATTATTGAAGTGAATTTTCTAAGTCCAAGGACCATAACTCTGCAGAAAATAATCAAACCAGAACAAAATTCGAACTTGATCTGTAACTTGTCGTGATAAAACTATATACCAATTATCAAATCAATATCTTTAAGCATCACGGAAAAAAGTGCGGAAAACTGATTATTTGAGTGAATTTTCCAAGTCCAAGGACCATAACTCTGCACAAAATCATCAGACCGAAACAATATTCGAACTTGATCTGTAACTTGTCATGATAAAACTATATACCAAATATCAAATCAATATCTTCAAGCACGAAGAAAAAAAGTGCGGAAAACTGATTTGCCGGACTAACGGATGGACATACAAACAGACAGACAGACAGACGGACGGAGTGCAAACCTAAAGTCCCCTTCGACTTCGTCAGTAGGGGACTAATAAGACATGTAATTGATAGTAATTGAAAAATGATTTGGCATTACCGGCTATTTTTTGTGTGTAATCAATGACTATCAATTACATAGTCATTTGCACTGAAAAAACACTATTTTTCATAAAATGAACTTCTCTGAATTTTGATCTTGAGTCTTAATGATGAAGGTTATCACAAGAACACTTGTCTTGCTCACTGAAATATGCGTTATATGTTTACATTTGTAATCTCGTCAATGTAATAAGATTTTTAACTAAAATAACAACAAGTTATATATCAGAAATCGAGCATAGGCACTAATTTTAAGTAATTTCCATTGATTTGATAGCACTGTACCTTGATAGTCAGTCTATGAGGTGAAATCCAACAAGTAACCTGTATTTCAGCACTAAAACAATTGAATACAATTTGAAAGAAAGTTTATCTCATTCAAACTAAGGACTATTTTCGTTTGTTTTTTGTTGTTCCGTTTGAGCTTTCAATAACTATTCACACTTACCTCTTGTTAGTATTGCCTGTTCAGCATAAGGTAGAAATGCACAGTTAGGACAAGAAAACTTAATAGTTATCAAAGGTACCAGGATTATAATTTAATACGCCAGACGCGCGTTTCGTCTACATAAGACTCATCAGTGACGCTCAGATCAAAATAGTTATAAAACCGAACAAGTACAAAGTTGAAGAGCAAAACTGACACTCATAATTTTTAACCACGAACTTTCCCTTGTTTTCTTACAAATTAGGCTTAGTGTTGGTGTCCTGTATGGGCATATGTATAGAAACAGCATCTTCCATAGATTTCATTTCCAATAGTTGAAATGGTGAAACATAATCTCTTTTTGGTGTAACCATGGCAACAATCTGCATTTATTTGATACAAATTTTGCAAAAAGGTGTTGAAAATGTCAAAAAAGCCTCCAAAATTTGGTCCAAAGTAGAAATTTAATCCATTAGAGTGATACCTTTTCTGAAACCGTTGACATTTATCTATCACGAGGTCAAATAAAAATCATATGCATTTCACCTCATAATTCCATAAAATTGAATTGAAAAGTTCGAGCGTAAAATTTTTGTTGGAAAACACTACAATAATTTCTGGACCTATGTGCGGTATTGATGTAAAAAGTAAAATTAAAAAAATACCGAACTCCAAGGAAA